GAGGTGCCCCCCCCCCCCCCACCCCCCTAATAATACTGGCTCGTTGAGCTATGACCGTTAAGGGTTTATAGGGTTTAGGGTTTAGGGTTTAGGGTTTAGGGTAACCCTGTAGGTTCCTTAAGAACCCATTTTAATTGGCCAGGGATCTGTGCTTTGCCCCGAACTCCGCTGTATCCGGCAGGCACCCGGGCTTGGGGTCTGACGACGCTAAGGATGGCCCCATTCCTTGGATGTAGGGTTTAGGGTTTAGGGTTTAGGGTTTAGGGGTCTTGAAGGGTCTTCAAGGGTACAGTAGGGGGCCAATTTTGGGGCAGGCCATTGACAGGAGCCGTTCTTGTGGGGGCTCTAGGCTCTACTTGGAGGTTCAAGGGTAGTTATAGGGAGGGTTCTAAGTGTTGCCTTACTTATAGCCCCAGTTATAACTACCCAGGAACCTTCCCTCAGCATTCTTTGAAGGAATGGGGCCCGGGACTCTCTGGCTCTTGTGGGCCTTGGCTTCGGGATGCTTGGGGGAACCCTGGCATGAGAGGGAACTTGGGCCTCCCTGTCCATCCTCTGCTCTCCTGTCATGACTCTCCCTAAACCCTAAACCCTAAACCCTCAGCCCTAAACCCTAAACCCTAAAACCCTAAACCCTAAACTCTAAAGCCCTAAACCCTCCCTAAACCCTTTTCCATGACCCTTCCTGCAGCCCCCCGAAAACCCTGAGTCGCGCTCCCAAGTGGCTGGAGCCGTTCCGAGAAAACTGCATCGCACTCTTCGTGCGTGCGGTGTCTGAGCGAGCAGCCTGCTTGAAGGTTCCCAGCAAGCCCAAAGGCCCCTTAAATAAGGAATATACCTTAAACCATCTTAAGGATCCCTATATGATTTAAGGTATATAGCTTATTTAAGGGGTATTGGGCTCTTTGGGTTCATGGGTAGTTAGAAGCAGGCTTGTAAGTACCCTAAAAAAGGCTATCACCGGGTTAGAATGATAGATGTCCTACTCATATCCCCACGTAGAAATACCCATGAACCCCCAAGTAGCCCTAAACCCTAAACCCTAAACCCTAAACCCTAAACCCTAAACCCTAAACCTTCAAGTGGGAACCAGATTCGGGGCTCAGACCCCGATAGCATTGACATGTCGCAAGTCACGCCAGCCCTGGCTTGCCCATGACTTCGAGGTGCTGCCAGCTCTAGCTGTGGGCGCGAAACCCTAAACCCTAAACCCTAAACCCTAAACCCTGAACCCTGAACCCTAAACCCTAAACCCTAAACCCTAAACCCTAACCTGGATTATGTGCTGCCCTCCAGGTCTGACAAGGAAGGCAACACACCAAATTCTTACACTCGAAAGCCGTTCTTCAAAACCATTCTCCAAACCTAACCGCCGGATTCAAATCGCTTTTTTGGGGGGACTGTAATCATGACCTGCGGCCGGTTTAGGGTTTAGGGTTTAGGGTTTAGGGTTTAGGGTTTAGGGTTTAGGGTTTCCGGTTTGGGGTTTACGGGAGGGGGCCCTTCAAGGGCGCCTTCAATGGCCACGATGAAATCCCCCTCGGCCAGTCCAGGTTGGCCCGGGAGTGGATCCTGAGAGGGACAGATCAATCTTGGCTTTCTCGTATGAATATAGTAATAAGAGTAATAATAATAATAATAATAATAATAGTAATAATAGTAATAATAGTAATAATAGTAATAATAGTAATAATAGTAATAATAGTCATAATAGTCATAATAGTAATACTAGTAATAATAGTAATAATAGTAATAATAATAATAATAATAGTAATAACAGAAATAATAGTAATAGTAATAGTAATAATAGTAGTCATAATAATAATAGTAATAGTAATAGTAGTAATAGTAATAATAGCAACAAGACCAGTAATAAACAGAATAATATTGTAATGATAATGCATCGCATCATACTAATAAAATAAAAGAATGCTGGAAGAACAAAGTCATCAACAGCCTAATATTAATATCAGTGACAACAAGAATTAAGAAGAATCATAATAACATCAATAAAAAAAGAAGAAGACTCGTTCTAAGAATACTAAACAATACCGCGAGGAGCAAAAGGAAATCATCTAACAATCTTTGAAGTGGGGTTCTAATTGGAGGCTGCTGCGTCAGGGCGACTTGGAGTGTCGACGCGGCAGCTATGACTTGAGATGCTCCCCTTCATAATATGTAACAGTCCTTATATAGGAAAATTATAATAGGGGGTACTTGTATGTATATCTACATATATATATATATACACATATACATATAGAATCCCTATGAAGGACTGCTAGCATAAGGGTGAACATGAATGTAGGTCCCGATGCCAAGTGTATCCTAAAAGAAAGTTTAGGGTCCAGGGTTCTCCGGCCAGAACAATACTCAGGAAGAGCGCCCTACTGACGTGCACTGCGGGGGTGCAGTGCACAAGATCCTGGAGGTTGAGAATGTTGTGGAGTTCTTCGCTGCCTCCGGCATAGCTGAACCCTTTTTGAACCCAGTGAACCCTAAAACCCTAGGTCCAATCCGCAAGGCTGCCCATACATAATGTCGATAGGCCTAACGAAGGCTTCTTGCTCCTCCTCTTTCCACCTCCCGAAAAAACGTCAACAGTCCAGACAATCCAGGATCAGGGCATCGTGAGCTCATCACTGCAGTTTGAACTCTTACACCCTTTTTGTAGACCCTTAAACCCTCGTTCTTGGTAGCCCAGTAGCTATATTAAAATAAGGGTATATTTCTTTGGGGTTGGCTTCTTTATAAGGGAACCTTGAGCAACAAAAGAGAAAAAGGGTACCGGGCTACCAAGAATTTCCCCGAAACCTACACATTGGGATGTTCCGCCCTTATAGTTACGAGCAGTCGTTAATCGGGATCATAATGGGGGGTACTGTGCTAGAATCCCTGTTAAGGACTGTTAGTAGAAGGGGGAGCATCCCAACCTACACATCTCGTTGGCGCTGCCCCCCTAAACCCTAAACCCTAAACCCTAAACCCTAAACCCTAAACCCCCAACTGCGACCCATGGGTCCACGGACTGCACCAGGATGCCCCAGTCATCGTCAAAGCGCAGGTCGAGGCCGGTGTTGCCTGGGAGACTTAGGGTTTAGGGTTTAGGGCTTTAGGGCTTTAGGGTTTAGGGTTTCGGGGGTTGCTTCGGGGCTTCGACTCCCAGACTGGCGCAGACCACCATGCCTCCCTATTTTTTTGCATCGGAGCCTCTCACTCAGGTGGCCGCGCTACTGCAGCCAGTCTGAGTGAACTGGGTGGATGATGTTGCACGAAGAGGTTGGTGCTCAAGCACGCAGCCATGTCTGCACAAGCCCTGGTCTAGGAACACAGTGTACAAAGGATGCCGAGGCCCAGTCTCAGACAGCCATCTTCTGACGCAGCGACGCTTCCTGCTCACTGCACAGCACCTTCACGCCGAAAGTGCCCTCGACGTCCTTGATGTCTTCAATGAAGCGCTCCACCGAAGCGTTGTACAGCTGACGGTCCGCTTGTGTCAGGTAATCGACCATTTTGAGAACACCGGGCGGCTGGGCCTCGACGGTGTCGTTGTAGCTGACTCCGTGGTCCTCCACTTCAGGGTGGGGATAATATCAAAAACTTAAAATATTTTTTGTTCCTTATAGGGTTTACTTACCTTCATACATGTAAAATGGTACCCAACTATGACAAAGTCCTCCTCAGTGCCGTCAAACTCGCTCCAAGCTTCGAGGTCTGTGCAGTCGCAATGGCTAGGGAGGCTGCCTGTCAGCTTGGCTGAGAAGAGGCACATGGTCTCGTGGTACGCCTCTGTCACCTAGACCCAGGAGTAGCCTAGGAATAGAAAAGGGCACCCCTTTGAAGTTTTTTGAGGGGATTTACAAGAGAACCGCAACCCTAAAAAAAGAAAATTCGGGCCCACTCCGGGTCAAAGTCACTCCTAGCAGGGAGGCCGACTTCATGTTCTGAATTGCGGCGACTATGTCCACGGTAGCCCCTCGCTCGTTTGGGCTCTGGCACGTCAGCCGTGAGCTTTGCAAGTCTTGAGGGAAGTAGCAGTGGAACTTGTCGACGTACCTATACAACTTGGAGCCCTAGCAAAAATCACAATGTTAGCTGTTTCTTCGGAATTCTAGCACTCAAAAAATCAAAAACTGATCCCCAAGCATTGCTGAGGCACACGCTGTAAGTGCCATAGCGGGGTTCCCAAGTCCATGCCCGAACCCATTCGCCAAAGGTCTCCGGGAGTGAGAAGAAGGGCCTCAGTAGCCCAGTAACCATCTTACAATAAGGGCACCCTTTTTTGGGTTGGTTGCTTTATGAAGGGAACCCTAAACCCTCAACCCTAAACCCTAAACCCTAAACCCTAAACCCTAAACCCTAAACCCTAGACCCAAACAAAGGGTAAAGGGCACCGCTGGGCAGCCAAAGGGCTGTCCGGGTGCTGCGAGCATGGCCCGGAGCGCTGCCTGGAGCATGGTTGGGATCGAATTTAGGGCAATTTAGGGTTTAGGGTTTAGGGTTTAGGGCTTAGGACACCCTTAATAGATTTATATTCCTTATTGGGTTTAAGCACCCTTAGTAAAATTATATTCCTTATTGGGTTTAAGTACCCTTAGTAAAATTATATTCCTTATTGGGTTTAAGCACCCTTAGTAAACTCATAGTCCTTATTGGGTTTAAGCACCCTTAGTAAATTTATATTCCTTATTGGGTTTAAGTACTAAATGTATATTCTTTGTTGGGTTAAAGTACCCTTATACATGTAAAATGTTCCCCAGCCATGACCAAGCTGCGTTGTAGCCAGGCCCTCCACCGGTGTAGCAATGCTGGTACATCGAGAAGACGTGATCTCCTTGGGTAACCCAGCAACCACATCTATCACAAGGGCAGCCTTTTTGGGGTTGGTGATTTTATAAGGGAACCCAGACCCAAAAAAAAAGCAAAGGGTACCCTGGGCTGCTAAGTCTCTGGGTCGGCGGACCATGACGACCGTGTGGTTGAAGACCGCTTTCTGAGAAAATGAGAAGCATATCTCATCGGACCACAAGTTCTCTCGGCCAACAATTTCCTTGGTAGCCCAACAACCACATCACATAATAAGGGTACCCTTAAGAAAAACTTTTTGGGTGGTTGGCTACTTTGCAAGGGAACCTTGAACCCCACAAAAAGGGTATGAAGGGGCACCCACTGGGCCACCAAGTTTCACCCAGGTCGTGCACAGTGGAGCAGCCTGCGACTTTTGGGGTGTGCAGGTGGAAGACCTGGGCATCTACCGGCGCCGTGTGATTCCAGCAATCGTCGTACAGCAAGCTGGGCTCCATCACCTCTTCCTTCACAGGGTTCTTAAGGTTCTTAAGGGGGTTCATGGGGGGTAGGTACCTAGGGAACCTTAGGGAAGCTTAGGGAGCCTTGGGGAGTAGTAGTAGGGAACCTTGGGTTACATACCCTCCTTGAACCTCTCTCTCTTAAGAACCCGAGAATTCCTTGTGGAGGCCCAAGCCCACTTGCAGCAACTCCGTCCGCGCATCGTCGCACTCTTCCGCCTCCTGAGCCAAGGTGAGGTCTGTGAGGTAGCCGAGGCCAATGAGGCCCAAAATTCGTTTCGGTATCATGGCCGGGGATTCCAAAAAGATCCGCCGGAGTCGCTTGCAAGCTGAGGGGGTGGCAGCTGATGAGCCACAATGTCAGCGATGACAATATATACGTACAGATTATATATATATATATATGTATATATATTATACATATTCTAAGCATATATATATATACATATTATACACACACATCTTGCACAGGACAAACAAGTCCTCTCTCTCTGAGATAGCACCAACCCTTAGCCATGCAGTCCGATCGAAAAGAAACACCAAGCCATACGTGACAGGAACGTCACTGTTCAACTTGGCACACATCTTTGTTTAGGGTTTAGGGATCTCTCTAGCAGCTAGGACCTCATCCAGGGGCCTGACTGACGAACCTCCCACGGCGCCTGTAATCGAATGAATGATCTGCAAAAAGTGTTCCGCAAATTCGAGGTCTGCCCAGCAGAAGCTGCGCGAACAAAGCCAAGCGAGCCAACAGGCAGCTAAAACAGCTGGAAGCATCAAGCGGACCACGCCCCGTAGCGAATTAAGCAGCCGCATGCTTCCACCCCAACCACCCAACCCATGTACTCGCGCGGCAGCGCAGCACCACCTAAAGTGGCGCGGGTTGTGCCAAGATCGCGCAAACGAAATTGTGGCAGCGTCGAAGCCGACGCCTTTGATATGAATTCCCAGTGACCACAAGTCATTCGAACAAGAACGTTAGACATGGCTGCTTTGGGGCCAAAAGCTCCACTTTCTGCACCCCTAGAGCTAGAGTGCCTGAAGCTCCAGATGTCTCCTGCCACGTTTTCAGGGCCCTGTTGAACCTTCCTTGAGTAAAACCTTGTGTGGTTCAACAAAGATGACCCTCCTAGGGCTCCTTGAGAAACTCGTGGCTTCTGAGAGACCAGAAATGGTATTGAGAGCCACGTGGCCCATGGAATCCACGGCCAAGCGCACGCTCCGGGCGGTGTAGATGGGCGTCTCATCTGGCAGGTCCCGGTCGGGTAAGGCCAACGCCGACGAGGAGTCGGGGCCAGGCAGAAATCCTGGGTTGGGTGCCAGCTGACGTAAGGAGTCTGGGTTCAAGAAGGGTTTAGGATTTAGGGTCTAGGGTTCAGGGATGCTTTAGGATTGACGTAGGCCCACGTCCCCCTAAACCCTAAACCCTAAACCCTAAAGCCTAAACCCAAAAGGGTGGGGGGCCTTTGCAAGAGTGACCCAGTCCATGATCTTCTCTCCGGCATGGCCCATGTCGCGGACTGCAACTCAAAGTCAAAGCACAGCCGCCCCGAAAGCCTTCATCTAAACCCTAAACCCTAAACCCTAAACCCTAAACCCTAAACCCGAAACCCTAAACCCTAACCCTAAACCCGAAACCCTAAACCCCCTACATGCTCAAAGAACACCGAACACACTCGGAACCAGACCTGAACCCCAAGAAGCGTAAGAACCCTACTTGAGGTTCATGGGTAGCTATAAGTAGAGCCTTATAAGTACCCTAAGCACGGTCATAAGCATAGCTACCCTACCTCGAACCCTACTTCTAACAACCCCATGAACCTCCAAGTAGCCCTAAACCCTAAACCCTAAACCCTAAACCCTAAACCCTAAACCCTAAAGTACCTAAGAAGCTCTGGCCTCCTCGCCCAGGTCGGACCTGAACCTCCGGCCACTGCGGCAGCCTTAGAAAGACTTCTTTTTGTTTGCTTCTTTCTGTGGGTTTAGGGTTTAGGGTTTAGGGTTTAGGGTTTAGGGTTTAGGGTTTAGGGTTTAGGGTGTAGGGTTTAGGGTTTAGGTGGCAACTGCAAGCTCGCCCTTTTTTCAGAAGGGACTCGACTGCTGCCCTTTCTGCAAGCTCGCCCTATACCCTTAAAAACCCCTGAACCCTAAGCCCGCTAAACCCCAAGCCTTTTCCGAAGATGGACGAAAAAAAAACGCCCCTTGAAGAGTTCCGTCATGCTTGACTCTGCCGCGGACTTTGGGGCTTTAGGAGTTCTCAGGCCCGCAGGGCTCTTGAAACCGGCCTCAGGAATGGGCTTCGGAGATTTTACGCTCACTACTCCCATATCACCCAGCGGCGCCAAATCAACCCTAAACCCTTAAACCCTTTTGCATTTGGCCTGCTGTGACTCTGCCAGGTGACCAATACTGACTACTCAACGCATTAAGCAACCCTAAAACCCTATAACCCGAAACCCCCTAAACCCTAAAACCCTTCTTCCGGATGCCATTTCGGCCATTCGGATGTGACGCTGCTGAGTTTTGCCGGGATTGACATGCGGAACCCAAGGGTTTCTAGGGGTTTTACCTTGGACCCTTGAGGTTGTACCCTTGGGTTTTGGGGACCCTTTCTAAAGATCCTCAAGGTAGTATAAGGGCCGAAACTAGCAGCACATTAAGGGGAACCTTTAAGGTTTCAGTGTGGCATCGACCTGGCATCCGTTGCTTTCCGCACTGCAAGAGCTTTCTGCGCGAAGCCCCTGAAGCGAGCCTGCATATGCACTTAATTACGGCCCCTAAACTGCCCCGAAACAGCAGGAAACATGGCAGTCTCTTCGGCGAAGCAGCTGTGGCGCGTCACGCCTTGCGAGTGCCAGGGGTGCTTCCTCCCAGCGGCCAGAACCTTTCAGCTTCGTCGAGGTTCGCGCTTGAACAGCTCAAAGCTTGAAATTGCCCTCTCATATATCGGGGGCTGTCCCGAATTCGGTTCCCTTGTAGGTACCCGTTAGGATCTGTTCAAGGTCTGCACCCGCAACGTCAACCACCAATTCGTAGCCTAAACCCCACACAGTCTGAACCATCGATCAAGCCTGAATGAACCCCCCACATGAACCCTCAACACCATCAAAACACAAAAGCCCCATAAACCCTGTCCAACATCTTTGAACCCAGGCCTGCTGCTCCCCTAAACCCCAACCCCAAAGCCTAAACTTCAACCCCTCAACCCTAAACCCTAAACCCTAAACCCCAAACCCTAACGTTGCGCGGCTGCTTTTCATGGGTTCTGGGCCTGGCCGTACATCCAGCAGCCGCGCCGAACTGGAGCTCTGGAGCCTCTGTGAGGCCTCGGGTTTCTTGTGGAGAGCTTACTTTGGAGGTTCATGTGGGGCTGTTAGAAGTTGGGTCATCAAGTAGGGTTTAGGGTTTAGGGTTTAGGGTTTAGGGTTTAGTGTTTAGGGTTTAGTGTTTAGGGTTTAGGGTTTAG